TTCCTATTCTTGATCCCAGAATTCTACATCCGCAAATTGTGGGCTTTCTATGATCATGCTCTTCAGTATACCTATCTTAATTCTGTAGTTTTGATGATATTCAAAATTTAGTATTATTTCGGCATATTACTTCTTTGGGAACAATTTAATCTTGATTGTCCCATTAGAGTGTCAAGATTCTTTGGATTATTTCCATCTCCATTCCACGTTTTGCCTCCTCAGGAAACTTGTCGGAAATATAAATCACCTCCTCCAGAATGTCTTTTAGAAGGTTTCTTTCATGTTGAAAAGAAAAGTTCAGTCTTTTCTTCAGAATCAAGAGGAAACGAGGATAAAGTCACCAGCTTATTCCGTTCGTAGTACTGATCAATAGGTGTCGTCGCCTTGGAAACCCCTTTAACTGTGCGCGCTGGCTGTAACCTGCGTTGTCCTATAATTACATACCTAAGCAATTTAGTGTTGTGTAAGCCAAATCCTACGCGATTTATTGTTGGTCATACTCTAGAGTTTTTAAAAATCTTCCAGATTCATAATCCTGACCAGATCACGCCAGAGCTTTAACTTACTATCTATAAATTTAAATAGCTTATTCTTCTACATACCATAGGTTTCGTTTAACTTCGGAATGAAAGGCTGGTGAAAAAGCCTATTAACTCTATATGAATGGTAGGGTCTCCTAAGGTAGCAAAATCCAGGGTTGACACCATAACGTTTACAACAGTTTAAAAAGGTCAGATGGCATGACTGATTTACATTTGCCTTATGTCAGACTGTATTCAGCGCACTGTCTGGCAATTTTACTGCCCTAGTTTAAGCGTAGAGATGAAGAGCAAGATGTTGTGGACTCTAGTTTGGTCGCAGTCTCCTTTCGATGTTTATATATGATCTAAACTCATTTCGCAACTTGGTCATTTTGTCAGAGACATTTAGTTGGACGCACCTTGTCCCAATTCCACTTCTATAGTAGTTTTCTCTTTAAGAGAGAAATATGACCCATTATCGAGATCTGGCTGCTACAAGATTTTTTTCTCATTTAGTCGATTATATGTTGGTTAGACATGCAGGCCTATTCGATAAAGATTAGGGGATCACAAAAATGCTTGTAAAGGAAGCTGGGTCCGAAGGTCAGAAGTGGCCGAACATATGGTAGAAATTGGACATGAAATAGAATGGTCTCAAACGAGTAGGTTTGCTGATTATGGTACGTCTGCGGTTAAAAGAAAGAGAGGCCATTGAAATTAATAGCTTAGGAAATACGTTGAATGTGAGGAACGGTAGTAGAAACTTGAGTAAGAACTATTTATACTTGATTGACAAAGTGAAGTAGAGAGAGGGTGATGAGCCGCCATCCACAAGAAGACGACTCAACTGGGTGGCTAAGTGATGGTTTTAACTTTTAATAACTCTGATTTAGGACCGGTATTGCGTATAGACTCTAACACAGACACACATACACACAATCGAGAAAAAGTAGCAGGACCAGTATGAAATATAATTAGTCAAACCACTCTATATATATCTAGGTTTTTAACGTGAGACTTTTACAGGAATGAGACCCAGCTCTGATGATGTCCATCAGATGATGGACGAAAGCTCTGCTCGTTTTCCTTTGAAACGTGGGAGGATGTCTTGTGGATTGCACCAACCTGAACGTCGTATAAAAGCCAAACGGCTGCAGTGCAACGGGATTCATTCGTCTTCTCCTTATGAGATCGACCTACGAATCGCTTTTTCATGCACTTCCATACGAAATGAAAGTCCCCCCAACAATACGATAGTTTACGTGTAGAGATGAAGACCAAGATGTTGTGGGCTCTATTTTGGTAGCAGTCTCTTTTAGATGTATATATATGGTCTGAGCTCATTTCACGATTTGATCATTTTGTCAGGGACATTTAGTAGTTATCATAGTTTCCAGCTTCGGAACGTGTACTTGGCACATTCCCAGACGTATCGCCGGCATCGTAGTTGACACTGTCATTTTTGTTTTCTCATTCTCAGCACCAAGCTAAAACTTATCAAAGTAACAAATGAAGACAATCTCTTTACTAGCTTTCTGTCGAAATGGCTGTGCTTTAACCCTTTTATTTGTTTCGGATAAAAAATTCGAGAGTTGAGGAGAAGGAGCAAGGTAAACAGTAAATGTGATGACGCCACGGTAAATTCGCCAAAAGAGCACACTTCTTGAGGAGTGGAATATAAACAATTCAGAAGTTGTGATATGGCGAGATTGAGACAAGGAGGTATTTGGATGGATAGAGGCCGGGACAAGAAGAGAAATTGTAGCACAACCGTTCAGGCAGAAAGTTGTTCAAGGCAGTCATTTCACTTGTCTCTTTGACAAGTTGTAACTTGGTACTGAGAATGGCATGACTCACTGACAATGCCGATCACGATGTCGGTGAAACGTCTATTAGTGTACCAAATCCACAGTCCGACGCTAGGAATTATGATGAGTACTATAGTAAAGGACTTCGGACAGATTGCATCCAACTAGGTCGCCTTGACAACAGGACGAAGTTGCGCAAAAAGGGGTCATTTCAGATCTTAACATCTAAAGGAGACTGCGAACAAAATAGAGGCCAAAATATCTTGCTCTTCCTATCTATCATTGATAGGAGGTCTGGCTCGCCATGAAAGTAAAATCTGCCCCGTGACTCACTGGGGCTCGTCACTCTGTAACAGTGGTAGTGTCGCCACTTGACGAGCATAAGATGGTTTTGAATCTCACTGGAATTATGGTTGAGACATTTTAAAAGGGAAGATTTAGTAGAGTGTACTGGTATTCTGAGGCTTACCCATATGATTGTGTGAAAATACTACTTAAAACAAACGAGAAAGTCACAGTACCTTCAACTAAAAGTTGATTAGGACAGCGTGTTTGCCAGTAAACTCAATATGTTACTATAAGGATTATGGTGTAATTTGCTTACAGAGAATGTCCATGAAAAATCTATTCAAATGCCTAGGTAACACCTTCACCTTGCCTCAACTAAAAAACACTTCTTGTATGCTAGTCAGAGAAGTTAGTTTGCAAAAAATGTACGATATGAAGAAATACTAGGAACACACGAATGCAGGATAATAGTACATATTAAAATAGTAATAGATAAAATTTTTGAAGCCAAAAATGCAATCGAGAGGTTTGGGGAAGGAGGTGTACATAAGCATTGTACACATATAGAGCAGGCTCAAGCTGATACAAGTAAATACGTCTCCAAAGTGATGTTAGATCACAAATACATCCATTCAACATATCAGTCTGAGCCACCTCATGTATCTGCAAGAATATAGGAGCGGCATGGGTTGGCCAAACAAATAAGGCGAATACATATCATGTCTGTGATATAATGGTAATATCGAAAACCTAGATATAAACGAAAAATGAGTTATGTAGCCAATTGCTATAGCAAATACAAATTTGGTTCAAAGTTGTTTGGCCTTGGTTTCGCAACTTGGTCATATTAGCAGGAAGATCAGGAGAAACGCATCTTCTCTCTAGTCCAACGTATGCATGATAATTTCAACAGTCGGATCGTGGACTTGGTATATACCCAGACGTTTCGTCAGCATCATATTCGGTATCATCAGTGAGTCTTGCCAGTCTCAGAAACCAAGCTACATCTCGTTAAAGAGACAAGTGAAGTCAAGCTTTTGACCAACTTTCTGTCGAGGCGGTTGTGCTGTCATTCCTCGTTTTGTTCTCGTTCCTCTATCCATTTCCTACCCTCTAGTCTCGCCCTCATCCTATCACAACTTCAAATATGTTTATAATCCACAGGATAAAATCAATAAGCAAAACTTAATCCCTTATGCTAGACAGTAAAACTCGCAAAGCAATTTTTGGCCTAAGTCAAAGTCAATTAGAAAAATCGGAATTGTCATAAAGAAACTGAAAATAAGGGCTTGTGCTTAAAAATCGGTGATGTTTTTAACGCGCTATAAAGCTGAAGCGTCCCTTGAAGTAAATATTCTGGCGTCATCCTCACAAAAATCAAGTTGACTTTTAAGTTGGATCATTTTAAAGGAACCTTCTCAGTCGTGTAATACATTCTAGCTTTTGAAGGGCAGGTAGTTTCGAAGAATATACAAACATTTAAGAAAAGGATTAAAAACACAAATTTTAACCTCTGCTTGTAGAAGAAAAACTAAACGCTATATGTTAAATAACGGCATATGTGGAACCTGCTAGACACTATTGTTGGTTCTTTATATTTAATATGCTAATCAAAAGTGAAAACTCGCTTTTTAGCTTATTCCATGATCATCAAAGAAAATACCTCAAATTCGAGGCTAATAATAATTCAAATGTATATTATGTTTTTTTCTATGTATGAAGGCAGGAAAAAAAACTGCTTACCCGAACCACCATTTATAGTAGTATTCAAAATCAAAGTATTCGATGAATTCAATATCTGAAAGACAAAAAAAGCGAAGGAGAAGTTCGCAAATGTTGTCTATCACAGCATTATATGCTGTGATTCTGTATAAAACAATCTACTGTAGGATGCAAACTGTCCTGGTGAAGTATATATTGACTTCGATTGTAAAGGTTCGATGAGAATTTGCATAATTTATTAGGCACCCTATAGTAGGCTTAGTACGAAGTAGCGAAAAGCTATGGATCGTGTGGGTCAATATAAAAGATATAAAGAATGTAACCCGAGCTAAAAACATTAGTTATCCCAGCTGGTTGATGGCATAACAAAAATAAATCATATTATGACTTACTACTCAAATATTCCGTCAATTTTGCAAAGGTTAATATATTGTCTATGAGAATAAAAGTTCGGTTTCGAGGAATCTCTTGCTTCATAATTGTTGAGCTTACTTCCATGGTTGGGTAAAGAGATTCGAAGGTCGAGATGATGTCACGACTTTTTAGTTAGATTTGCTCCCTAGGAAGCAAAACGGACAGTTTTTTGTCAAGTGGGCTAAATAATTGTTAAATGAATGACTTTGTGGCAATAAAAGTGTAGTTTCCTCAAAGTGAGATCTTCACAATGAATTAGAGGAAGTTTTGATTAAATAAATGAATTGAGTTATCTCATATCTGAAAATTCTAACCTTATTTAAAGAAAAACTGTACTTCGAAAAATTCATTACAGATTTCTGTCAGTTTATTTTAGTTAAAAAGGAAGGTGGCTTGGGTGAATTATTGATAAGTAAAGATTTCTATCTCTGTATTCAGCGAATTCAAAGGACGGTGAACCGAGTTTTTCGGGCAATAAAACAGTCGCAACTACAAGAAAATGATCCTTCGGTCTCGAGTAAGGCCAATTTGCAAATCCCTTCTACCCAATCTAAAAACTAAAGGAAAGGTAAGCAGGCACCAAATCTTAGCATTGCTGTCATAATTTACGAAAATTTTAAAGAATACTAGAAAATGACAATTTATGATATAAAGTTTCATTATTGTTATACTGGCTTCGCGTGTTTACTTGTGCATATACCTTTGAGAAGCACTTGCTATCATTCATTTGGTCACTATTTCCTTCCTTGTCCAACCTTCTGTTTGAAGCTTTGTCCGATCCAACAGGGATTTCCAGGCCGTGGGCATTTTGTCCTTCTAATCCCTCTGGTCCAAATGACTCTGGTGTCTTGACAAAAACTTTACTCATTATCGTTGTGGACAATGGTAATATAGATGTGCTAGTTCTTCGTTCTCCTGCGGCGGTATTGGCCGCCACTGTTGTCAAGGCTGTTCCCGTCGTTGCGGAAGTAGCTGACGAAGTTCTATGGTTACTCGACTGGCCGGCAAAATAAAAGCCTACTGATTGGTCACCACTACCGCTGCTAGCAAGCTGGGCACTGGAACAACGGGAAGAAGAGGTGCTGGCTACAGCAGCAGCGGCATCCGTTATTGGTTGGGTGAATGGAAGCAGGCGGGAGCGGTAGTGCCGAAGTCGACGACTAGCCATTAGAGCGGTTCCACGAGCCGAATCTAAGTGACGCAGTAGCAGATCTGCGATCATCGAAGCGATCTCTGCGAAAAGGTAGTGAGTGAAAAAGGACGAAAAAAAAGAATTTATCCAAAAACGAACTAGAGAATGAGTAAAATGTATATGAATATAATAGTTCATAAACCGTTTG